TTCTTACATGATAGAAAATATGAATATTATTTTTGAAATCTGCATAGCCAAATTATGGAAAATCAGTTATTAAAACCAAAACAACTTTTATGAAGTTTAAATTTGCAGGGCCTGTGTTATTAGTATTACTATAAGTTACAACCAAATATACCTAATAATCCAAACATTGTCAGAAGGCAGGGTTTATTTCATTAAGAATAAACAACATAAACCTTTAATTGTGACAATAATTGAGAATAATTCATGTTATCATTAATATTAGTATATGTACCTCATATTATAAACTTTATGTGACTTCACGTTTCAAAACTCTTAACTTTATATCATTAAACCTTTTCCCTACTGCATAATTTTTCTTCACAGGATAAAATATAACTGGTGTTGATGAGATTTTTTTCAGTGTGATTTAACCTGATTCTACTTAGTGTGATAATATATTGTTATCTTGTTCTTTTAGCAAAATACCACTTTATATTTGTTTCTCACTAAGAACTATTAAAAAAAATTAATCATAATTCACTAAAAATCAAGGTTAATTTGTAACTATTTCATTCAACTTGCAGCATGTTCATGTATCATTCTAAAAACATTATAATGTTTTGCACATTAAGAGAGATGGAGAAAGTTTTAAAAATTGAATTACAAAAATATTGTAACCTTTTATATGTCCATTCTATGTATGTGTAATTTTTAAGATTTGTTTTTGAGGACCTTATAAATATAAAAAGATAGTGTACCTGAACTTGTGTTATTTCTATGGATAAACTCATTGCAAAGAAAAATGTATATTTTTGTTATATAGGTCTCACATACTAAAGTTCACTAAAACAAAACCCAATTATTCATTGTTTAACAACCAGCCAAAAATTTAGTAATCATAAAACTATTTTTGATTTAGTTGATAATTGGAACATGTCCTTGGAATATCTACATATTATAATATGCTTCAGAAAAAAAGGTATAAGAAAGTTAAAAAATACAGAAATTATATTTAACAGTATATTACCTGCCTATTAAATTATCTTACAGTAGTGTTGTTTGAAGAAGCAGAAAAGGTTGTAAAAAAAGAGGTAGAAAATTAGAATGATGTCTATAGAATAAAAGTTCAACATAGCACAGAAAATAAAAAGTAGATGAAAATATAAAAAATAAAGTGTTGAAAAGTTGGTGTGGAATGTTTTGTAATTATTTAATTAGAATAGGAATTTTTGTGAGTATGTTTGGAAACATTAAGTTGTGATCCTAATGAAGATGTAGGTAGAACAAAAGTCAAAGAGTAGTATATAGTAGAAAAATGATGTCATGTATGAATGAAAATATAAGTGGGCAGAGAGAGCTAAAGGAATTAATATAATAGGAGTTAAAAACGTTTGGGATAAAAGTGAAGGTGTAGGAAGTGATAATGGGAATTTCAATAAAATACAAAATTATAAAGGGGCATAATAATTTTGGTGTATAATAATCAGGTGGTAGAGTGAATGAGAAAGGAGAATGTATTATTGGTGGGAGATATGAATTAAGCTTTATAAAAAACAAGGACAAGAATATAATGTGGAAGAGAAAGAAGGTATGCAAAATCCATAGAAAAGGCTGAGGAAGTCAAAGATCAAATATTGAATAGAAAAGTTGAAAAGTTATTAATTTTGTGGACCTTGGGGTTTGAAAATGTTGAACAGAAGAATAAATAAAGATGAAGGAGGAAGGTAGATGTATATAGGAGCAAGAGAAGCTTCACAATTGAACCATGTAATTGAAAAAAAACAGAACAAAAGTAAATGATTTTGATGATAAAGTTAGAAAATAGGATAGAATGAGATAATATGCTAGTTTTAATGGGATGAAAAAAAGAAAGGTGGAGAGTCAATTGGAGGGAGGATAAAGAAAAATTGTCTTGGACAGAAATGAAAAGGATATGGAAAGGAATGGTGACAGATAAAGAAGGATACCAGGAAAAAGATTTGGAGATTTAATATGGCAATAGAGAGGCTAGGCATGAAGGCTCAAACAAGAAAAGGAAATGGGTGATTTGATTGAGAATGTAAATAGTCAAAAAAGAAGTGAGGAAACGACTGACAAATTTCAAAGAGAGAAAGAGAATAATAGAAAAAAAGGAATTGTAGCAATTATATATATATATAAATAGAACAAATTATGGAAGGGAGAAGTTGATAGATAATAAAACAACTAAGGTCTCTGGACAGTGCTTAGTATGTTTCAGAGAAAGGGGGAAGGACAGTGAATATAACAGTGAACATGGAAGAATGAAAGGAACACTTTAATAAAAGTATAAAAGGTAGGGAGAAAAAAACTGCAAGGGATAAAATGGTAAGAATAATATTTTATAGTCAGTGGACAGAAGAAGAACAGGAAAAGCAATTAAAATGAAGAAATGAAAGATCACACAACAAGCTGATGGGTTAGACAAATTTTATAGGAACTTGACAAAAGAAAGAAATGAGAATTAAAATAATAACAACTTTACAAAATGTGTAATAGATGCAGATAGCAACTCAATTTTCAAGTTGGAAAATAAAGCAGAGACAAAGAGCTATAGAGAGTCTCATTACTAAACATATTTTATATATATATAAAGTAATGACTGGAACGATGATGAAGGTTTAATGAATGGTTAAACAGAAAAAAAAATATAAAAGAAAGCCCAGCACAATTTTGGAAAGGGTTTGAGGTAGAACTAAAGTCAGTGTAGAGGGATATATAAAATCAAAAGAAGATTGGAAAAATTTCAAATATAGCAAGAATAAGGTGTGATAATGTACCATATGGAACAAAAAATGGATAAAGTAAGAAGAGGAAATGTAGAATTTGTAAAGAAAACAAGAGACAATAATCAGGCAGGTGATAGCACTGCCTATGTAGGGATGGCTCGGATTGTTCCTTGAAATATCTCCTCAATAGGTCATCAGGACTTTACAGTACAATACAGTGTTTCATTTTATAACAATATCTATGTAATGACTGAGTCACAAGTTCTGGAAATATCATAGCAAAAGGTTTTCGATTAGTTGACTATTCTTCTTCAGGAGGACCCTTTGTTCTCCTGAAGAAGAATAGTCAACTATTCAAAAGTGCTCATGTTTTGGGTCTTATTTTAAGTTTATTACACTTTATATGTGATCCTTTTTGCTAACTCTTTTATCAAGATAGCAAAAAGTTTGAATTTCTTGATCTTCTGCTTCTTTTTTTATTACATGATAACTCAAAAACCAAAAACAATGGTTTCAACCAATCTCACTGACGTGACAGTTTCAAACAGAGTAGCTGCTTTTATAATCATTATTAACAATTAGTAGTAATTAAAGAAAATAATAATTATAGTGTAAACAATGTTATCATTACCTCTTGAGGTTAGCTTTCTTACAGAAATTTGATGTTCCTTTAAAAAGCGTACATACAGGGTAAAACAGAATTGCCAGCCAATAATAGATAAACAATAAATATTACAGTTGGAACCTCATTATATTTAGAACTTGGTTATAAGTACAACCCTCCATGTCTATTGAAACACTGCTTTAAAAAAACAAGCAAACAAGTAAAGAAAAAACTTTTCGAAAAAAGGAAGTAAATGCAAACAAGACAGTAGGCATGGCATTTGCATCATCCCTGCATAATAGCACAGGTAAGAATTAACATATAGCAGTATACATAACTATTCAGTCACAACTGAATTTATCCTACTTTTGTCTGTTAACATTCTACTACACTGTGTACCTGTGCTATTTACATAGGATGATGCAAGTGTCATCCTTACTATCTTAATTTGCATTGTGTTTGGAGGATTGATATTAACCATCCCTACATTTACTTTCTTTTTCAAGAATTTTTTCTTTACTTGTATATGAAAAATATGAAAAGAAATAAATAGGGAAAATATATATATATATATATATATA